GGGGGAAATGCACACCCCACACATGCAGCCAAGGGAGCATCTCAACACACTGCACAGGGTAGGCAGACAGCAGGGGGAAGGCCTCAGCCCTGAGAGCCAGCACCCACCACAGCTGGCATCACACTGCAACACCAGCCATTGTGCATCCTAACCCTAACCCTCCCCATCCCAGAGGCACGCACCTGCTGTGGGCACAAAGGAAAAAGCTCACCACAAAGACCTATAAAGGGCAAAGCAGAAATAAGTGCCAGACTTCAAGACCCCAGACTACTCCAAGCAAGCTCCTTACCAACTACTGGATCTACCCATCTAATGCCAACACACCCCACAGCGTCCAATTCCTCCCCCACTGCTCAACTCCACTCCCTGAACCAGCATTCACTTCCCTCCACACTAGACAAGATCCTACAAGGGGACAGAACAGGCAGTCACCCCTAAGGGCACAAGTGAACAGACCAAGGGACCAACGGGTACAATTCCCACCCCACGCACCCAGCCCTGAGCTCAAAGCTCCCTGAGGCATGCCTGGCCAGGGTGCACCCATCCAGCCATGACAAAAGGGTCACCCCCAGACACAGCACTCGCCCAACCTCACATAACGCTTGTCCTTCCCCAACACAGCCTCGTCCCTGCTTGCCTTCCTCTCCACGCAGGGGTACACAGGCACCTCCTGAGGCCACACGGGAAACTTTGCTACCATACAGCAGTGCAAAGCACAAGCAACTGCCCTACTGGAACACAATCCCACGCCGCTCAATGTAACATCTTACTCACTACAGGCTCTGCCCCCAAGTCCAGCGAAAGGGCAGAGGCCTCCTTCCCACTGACACAGAAGTCACCATAGGTGCACAGTCACCTGCTTCCTCCAGTTCCTAAATGGTTGCGGCTCTATGTCGCTTCACCTCTACCTCAAGCTCTCTTTTGCTCACGGTCCAAACATTGGCATTACCCCAAAACAACAAGCAATTACTACATGGGACAGTACTCACATCTCATAGTACTGAGGGGAGACACCTTCCCCTCCAAACCACCCCCCAAACAAAGTAGGCAGGGTAGTCAAGGCAGGGTAGTCAAAGTAGGCAGGTAGTCAAGCCCCTCCCCAAAGGGGGAACCAATTTAGGTGCCAACATGGCCTTCTTTCCATGCCTGGGAAGAGCAAAGGAAGAACAAAAAAAAAAAAAACGCCACACCGCTCCAAGTAACATCCTACCCACTGCAGGCTCTGCCCATGCACACAGCTCCACCGAACGGGCAGAGGCCTCCCTCCAGGTCACCCAGAAGTGAGCATGGCTGCACGACCACCTGCTTCTACGTAGCACTGGCTCTAGGTCTCTTCACCTCAGCTCACACTCCACACATTGACATCACACCCAAAACAACAAGCAATTACTACACACAACAGTATTCACACCTCATAGTACTGACAGCACAGACACAATGCCCTCCCCCCTGCAATCTAGGACACCAAAAGCATAACACCCCCACCCGCACATGAGGCACACAGGGTGCAGTCAAAGCCCACCCAAAGGAGGGGATCAATTTATATGCAAACACACCTATCCTTCCAGCTCTGGGAAGAGCAAAGAAAGAAGTGCTGCTGTGATTTTAGATATCAAAGTAGAAAGAAACACCAGTGACACAACCAGAGACATAGGACAGAGCGCACTTCCCAGAACTGAAGGGAGAGCAGTGGCAGCAACAACAGCCAGGCAGAGGCGGAGGCGCACGCACCCACTCCTCTGCCCCAGCACATCCAATGCCATGATCTGCACCCAGAAGCCAGGGGCAAACACTGAAACCCCTAATATACTCAAGGACAATTTCCAGCCTTTACAAGCAGTCAGGACTCAACACCAAGCTAAACCAAAATCAGGCTTACCCACCCTGCTCTGCAGCATCCCTAAGGGCCACAATTCCCTGCTTCAGCATCACTCCCCAGACAGCACGGAGCTCCAGACCCCATCACACACTAGGGGTTTCCTCCCCCACCCAAATACGACCAGGGAAAACGCAACCCAGCCTCCCACTTTAACCCAGCCCACCTTTCAGGATCCAGTTCCTCCATCTTCTACCACCACTGTAGAAAACTCACTTCTATTCCTCTCCCCCACAACATTGAGGCCACTGGAAAAAAAACAAAAACCTCATCAGCCCACCAAGGGAATGCAAGGGCACCGACTCAGAGATAAGGGACGTTCCCCTCTCCAAACCCCCAGCATACATCCAGCCCCACTATCCACTAACTCTGCTCACAAAGGCATGCCTGTGGCCAGCCTGAGGTGCATATTCACAGGCAATCAAGGACACAGCTAACCTACACAAGGGACAGCCACCACAGGAGAGCCCTCATCTCCAACAGGCACTACTCACCACAGCCAGCCACAATCATGCTGCTCCTTACCAGGTGTCCTCACAGCAGGAAGTGGGAGCAGAGATGCACCGCCTGCGAAGCTACACACACAAAACCTCCTAGAAACATGAAAGAACAAGTGTGGAAGAAGTGGTCAGGCAGGAAGACAAACACATCACACTGTTGCAAGACAGCTCAGACCCACCCCAGGAGTCCAGCCAGGTCATGCCACAGGGGAAGAGGCCTCACATCACACAAGTCAGGAAGTCACGACAAGGCTGCCCATTTCCTCGAGCACCATCTCTGGGACTGTTCACTTCATCTTCACAGTGTCTGCTTCACAGCCCTCAAGCCTTCGGAAGATGGCTCCTCCACACACATACAGAGACAAAGAAAAGGCAATTGCCACTATCAACAACTCAGAGCCCTCACCGCACTGGGGACAGTGGCCCCACCCTGCCAAGACCCCACGGGCACCTTTTTTTTTTTTTTTTAATCCCCCCCCCGCCATAGCTGTGAGGGTGCAGGCAGAGTCCTCTTAGGGCTTTCCCACAGCAAGCGAGGGAAGCAATTTAGATGTGCAAACACAGGTCTCCTGCTAGTTCTGGGAAAAGCAGAGAAATGCTGCAGTGACATGGAAGACAACAAGGCAAACAGGAAGGCACACGGACATGACAACCCGTTCCCAGCACTGGTGGGAGAGCCTGTGCCAAGACAGACAGCTAAGCAGAGAAACGCACCAAACTTCTGCCCCAGCAAAACCTGGAGCAGGCCAGACACCAGCACCCACGTGTTGGAAGAAACCTGGCTCGCAGAGCCAAAGAAGCTAGTGCCAGGGGCAGGCAGCAATACTCAGGCCTCACATAGAGCCCGATGAGGGACCCCTGCCCAGGGTGCACCACAGCAAGACACGAAAGCACACAGCACTGGGGGCAGTAGACCTTCCTTGCCAAGAGCCCACAGGCAACTTATTTTTCTTTATTTACTTTTACCACCACCACCCATAGCTGCGAGGGTGCAGGCAGAGCCCTCTCAGGGCTTTCCCCTACCAAGCAAAGGAAGGAATTTAGATGTGCAAACACAGGTCTGCTGCCAATTCTGGGAAGAGCAGAGAAAGGCTGCAGCAACTTTGAAGACAATAAGACAAACAGAAAGGCACACAGACACAGGACAAGCCATTCCCAGCACTGGTGGCAGAGCCTGTGGCAATACAAACAGCTAGGCAGTAACTCAGACAAAACACTCGTGGCCCGGCACAACCTGAACAGGGCCAGACACCAGCACCCAAATATTGGAGCTAACCAAGCTGAAGGACCCAAAACAACTAGTGGCAGGGGCTGGCAGGCATGCTCACGCCTCGTGCAGAGCCAGATGAGGGACCCCTGACAACAGCATGCCACCACAAAGGAGGAAGGGAACCTCAAACCCCACAACTCCCTGCCTCAGCCTTCCCACCACACCCAGGCAACCCCTCCCCCTCCTCCCAAACACAAAACACCTTCTAGCATCCTGATCCTCTGGCTCCATTACCACTGCTCTGCTCCAGTGTCCTCACCCTTTCCTTCCACACACACCAGGACCCTAGAGAGAACAGAGAAGAAGCATTCACCCCAAGCGAAAGAACAAAACATGGGACAAGGGAACCACTGGGAAAATTCCCACCCCACACATGCAGCCAAGGGAGCACCTCAACACACTGCAAAGGGCACACAGAGGGTACACAGACACCAGGGGGAAGGCCTCACCCAGAGAGCCAGCACTCACCACACCTGGCATCACAGTGCTCCTTCAGCCCCTGTGCAGCCTTGCTTGCCAGGCCTTCCCCATACAGAAGGCAGACATCCTGAGCAAAACAAAAACCTCAGCACAACAAGCAGAGAAAACAACAAAGGGCGAAGCACAAATAACTGCCAGACTTCGACAACCCCACACGGCTCCAAGCAAGCATTTACCAACTTCAGGATCTGCCCATCCAACACCAACACACGGTGCAGCATCCTGTTCCTCCCGCTTCACCCTCTGTGGGCACAGCTCCGCTCCACTCGCTGAGCCACTGTACATTTCCCTCCACGCAGGCCAGAACCCTAGAAGGGACAAAACAGGCAGTCGCCGCAGGGACACAACTGAACAGAAGAAGGAACCCACAGGTACAATTCCCACCCCACACACCCAGGCACCGGGTCAAAGCGCTCCAAAGGGGTGCTCAGCTAAGAGCCCCCCCATCCAGCCGCAGAAAAGGCCCCACCCCTGACAGGCAGCCCTCACCACGCCAGGTGTTATGCTACTCCTTCTTCAGTCCTCACTTGTCCCCGCTTCACTTCCTCTCCTCTCACAGGGTGCAGGAACCTCCTGAGGGCACACGGGAAACTTCGTGACCTAACAAAAGTGCAAGGCACAAGCAACTGCCCCACTGCAAGACAATCCCACACCACTCCAACTAAGCTCTTACCCGCCAGAGGCTCTGCCCATGCAAGCAGCTCCAGCCAACAGACTGAGGCCTCACCCCTGGTGACCCAAAAATGACCACAGGTGCACAGCCGTCCGCTTCCTCCACCTCCTTCTACATGGTGGCGGATCTACGTCTCTTCTTCTCTACCACAGCTCCTGTCCGCTCAAGTCCAAACAATGGCATCACCCCCAAAACAACAAGCAATTACGACATGGAACACAAATCACATCTCACATTACAAAGCAGAACCCCTCCACCACCACCACCTCCAACCCAGGACTCCAGAGGCAGCGCATACCCACCCCCAAACAAGCAACACAGGGTGCAGTCAGACCCCTCCCAAATGAGGGGACCAATTTAAGTGCCAACACAGCCCTCCTTCCAGCTCTGGGAAGAGGAAAGGAAGAACAAGAAGTGCTGCAGTGATATTAAAAATCCAAGTAGAAAGAAACACCAGTGACAAACGAAGAAAGACAGAAAAAAGTGCAGTTCCCAGAACTGAAGGGAGGCCACGGGCACCAGCAACAGGCAGGCAGAGGCAGAGACGCAGGTACCCGCTCCTCTGCCCCACCACACCCAGGGATAAGATCTGCACCCAGATGCCAGGACCAAACCCTGAAAACCCCTATACACTCAAAGGCTGTTTTCAGCCTTTACAAACAGAGCCAGGACTCACACACAGACTAAACCTAACCCAGGCATACACCACCCAGCTTTGGGGCACGCCAGGAGGCCAGAACCACCCCCGCACCCCTCCCTAACCAAGCCCACCTTTAAGCATTCTGTTCCTTCATCTTCCATCACC